ATTGGGTTTGCGTCTGAAAGGTGGGACAACTTAAGCAAGCCATGGGGGAGGAGCCTTCCTGGGCACAGGATAGGGTTGATACACAAATGGTTTACAATGTTGTTGACTATCTTGATTATCCTTCTTTTTTTCTTTTCCTTTTGATGCAGTCTTGCTCTGTCGCCAGGGCCTGGAGTGGCAATGCATGATCTTCGGCTCACTGCAATCCTCCGGGCTCCCGGGTTCAAGCCGGATTTTCCTGCCTCAGCGCCTCGGCGAGTAGCTGGTGATTACAAGGCGCCTGCAACTGCAACCACGCCTGGCTAGTTTTGCATTTTTACTAGAGACGGGGTTTCACCATGTTAGCCAGGCTGGTCTCGAACTCCTGGTCTCAATGTGCACCACCGCGCCCAACCTCCTGATGAGGCTTTTCAAAGGAGGCGGTCAGATGTGCCTCTATCAGTGAGCAGAGGGTGACTCTGAACAGAGCGGGACGCAGGTTTGCCCTGAGCAGCTTCCAGCCTGAGCTTTCCTTAGTGATTCTGGGGGCCCAAGAGATTTTGGTTTCCCATGTTTTATGTACTGAATGTTCTGGTTCAACTTTCGACTTCGCTCTCAGATACGGAGAGCTCTGACAAAGCTTCCTTTTGCATCTGTCGGGTCTCAAATGCCTTCAGTTTAAAATAACCTTCACATCCACTCTGGGGTTCCAGCTGGGTCCCCACAGCTCGAAATAACCCAAGGAGGGTCCACGGGGTGGAGGGAAGTCGATGAAAGGTTGGCGGCTGCGGAAACCCAGGGCGGGCAAGGAGGGTCCCTGGAGGTTGGTTTTCCGCAACGGAGCGGCTTTCCGAGGCGGCAGGTGCGTGGGTTCGAGGCAGGGCTCTGGGGCCGCTTTAGGCGAGAACCGGATGAAGCCCCGAATTCGAACTCGGGGGTTGGGCAGCGCTGGGCCTCAGCGCCCACGGTCTACCCGCGGCCCGGGCCTTATGTGCGCCTCAGCGAGGCCCAATTTCCACACAGCCGGTGCCTCGTTTCCAGCGAGCTGTCGGTGAGTCCCGGCGAGTCCCGGCGAGTCCCGACCCCTCTCTAGCCACGGCCTGACGGGCACGGTGTTGACCTCGTCCTCTGACCTCCGACCCCGCGCCGCGACCTCTCGTCGCCGGTCCCCTCGGAGCCGGGCGCGGTTTCCGGGGAACGCGTTTCCCGCCGCACCGTGGGCCGCCCGGACCGCGCAGGACGGGGCACCTTCCGGTGGCGGCGCGGAGCCCTGGGCCGGCCGCGGCCGGCGCCGGCCGCGCTGTGCGCGCGTTCGCGCGGCACGGAGCGTGCAGGGGCCCCGGGCGGCGGCGAGGCCGGAGCGGGGCGGGCCCGGGACACCGGCTCCCGGCGCCCTCGGAGCCAAAGGCGCGCGGCGGACACGGCGGGGCCCTCGCGCGGTGAGGACGCGTAGGCGTGTGGGCTCCTGTCACTTCACATCGCGAACGCTGGCCGCCGCGTGGCTCTGGCCGAGTCTCGCGAGGGGCGCCCCTGTGGCGTTTCGAGCCAGCCGGGCCGCCTGCGGAGAGGGAAGCTCTGCCCTTCCCCTGGCCTGGCGCGGGGCCAGTTCTCCCGGGAAGGGGCCGGGGGTCCTCGCAGGGCCCGGCCGCGGCGTGACCCTGCCGGGGTCCGAACTTCACCGCAGGGCGGCCTGATCAGGGCCAGGCCCGTGGGGACGCTGGCGTCACGGTGTCTTCCCCCTTCACGCCACTCCTACCAGGCCGACATCGAGTCTCGCTCCCCAGGGAGGGTCAAGGTCCAGGGGTCCAGCGGCTGCCCCGAGGTCCGCTAGGAGGTGGCGGCACTGGAGTGGCCTTTCTCCAGCCTGCACCGACCCCGCCTTGAGTGCCCCTGCGTGTGACCAACGGTGGTACCGGAGCGGCCTTAGAGACTGACCGCTGCCTCTGAGTTGAGTCTTAAGCCCCTCGTTGGGCCTGGCCGAGCCCCCGGTCTGCGCCTTTCCCCCCGCCTGGAGACGATGCCAAAGCTGCAGGGCTTCGAGTTCTGGAGCCGCACCCTGCGTGGCGCCCGCCACGTGGTGGCCCCCATGGTGGACCAGAGCGAGCTGGCCTGGAGGCTGCTGAGCCGGCGCCACGGAGCCCAGCTCTGCTACACGCCCATGCTGCACGCCCAGGTCTTCGTCCGCGACGCCAACTACCGGAAGGAGAACCTGTACTGCGAGGTGTGCCCCGAGGACCGGCCCCTCATCGTGCAGGTGCGCGGGAGGGGCTGTGGCGGCGGCAGCGGTTGGGTCCCGGGCCCTGGAATGCCTGGGGAAAAACCCTTCCCTCTGTGGCCGGACATCACTTCCAGCCTTTCCAGACAGCTCCGTTCCAGGAGGAGAGGGAGAAGGTGGCACCAGGCGTGTAGAGTCCACATGGCCACAGCAGTGATTCCTGTGGTGGAGCCAGGGCTGCCAGGTGCACCTGCCAGAATCCAACCCTGTTCTCTAGGAGCTGGCTGAGGCAGCTGGGGCGCTGTGAGGTTCGCAGCCCTGCTGGGGCCTCTGGATTGCTGCTTCTCACACTCACACTCCCTCTTCAGAACGAGTAGAGATGGCTCTGCTCTTCAGAAGTCAGTGATTGTGGCTTCTGCCACAGTTCAGAAAATCTGTAAATCCGGGTGGTTTGGGGACTCCTCCTGGCTTTGTCATAGTGTAAGCCTTCGCAGGACAGGGCACCCTCCTGCGGTGAACCTGGGCCCACACCCTCCTGGGGTCACACTGGACCTCTCGTAGGGCTGGGCAGCAAGGGACTAGCGCCTGGCTGGGTGCATCGCTGACTCCTGCGTCTTCTCCAGTTCTGTGCCAATGACCCGGAAGTGTTTGTTCAGGCGGCTCTCCTGGCTCAGGATTACTGTGACGCCATTGACCTGAACTTGGGCTGCCCACAGATGATAGCCAAGAGAGGTGAGCTCCATGTGGAGCATGGGGGCACCCGGGGCAGGGGCCAGAGCCAGCTCAGTGCAGCCCCAGGTGTGGTGAGCTTGGAGGATGGCAGGCCTTGCCTCTGTCGTGACAGTGGCTCAGGCTGGAGCCAGCCGTCCTCTGTGCTCTGCCTTTGGAGGGTGGCTGTCCTCAGGCCTTCGGGGCTGGGGGCTGAGCCCTACTGGCTCTCCCTTCCCTCAGGGAGCTCCCTCTGCATAAACATGATTGCTGATACAGGGTCCCCGCCACCCCCTTGCACTGCTGTGTGTGGGGCTGAGCCTGTCTACCTCACTGGGCCCCTGAGGAGGTGTTACTTGGTCCCAGACCGTGGGGCGGTGGGGGTTCCATTCAGCACCTTCTGAGCTTAGGCAGCTGGGCAAATAGAGCCCCTGAATCTGATGCCGACAAACCACTGCTCTGACTGTCCCACTGCCCCAACTAGAGACACTGCTGGTTCTTGGGGACCTGCGTCCGGCCTGGCAGGGCAGCTTCTGGCCTGCATGGATGGAGGAGAGGGTGCAGAGGCGGTGCAAGGCCTCGGCTCCACCAGCCTTAACACAGGTGCCAGCCAGGCCATGCTTGCTCTTTGCAGGTCACTATGGTGCCTTCCTGCAGGATGAGTGGGACCTGCTCCAAAGAATGAGTGAGTTGGCTGGGTGGGTGGTGAAGGACCCCCAGAGACCCTCGAGAGGGACACATGGGCACTGTCCACTTGGTTGGGGCTTAGGAGAGGACAGGCGTTGGCAGGAGCTCTCAGCATCACCCTGGGCTTCCTGCTCAAAGCAGCCTCTCTGCTGGAAGGAGGTGGCTGTGAAGTTGCCTGTCCTGTGCCACCCACCCCTTAAAACCAGACAGTAGGTGCCAGGACAGAGTCCTTCCTCGGGCCCAGCCCCAGATGTCCTGGGAGATAAAGCTGGCCTCGGTCCTGCTTGTTTGAACTTGGGAGGGCTGGGGGAATGGCGGAGGGAGCCTGCCCAGCAACCTGAGGGAGACACCCAGACGGTGGCCCAGGCTGCCTCCCAACCTCCCAGCAAAGCTGCCTGGACTCCGCTATCTGCGGGGCCCGGGGCTCTGGGGCTTGGCCGCTAAAGTGGGAACACCATGGCCCCCTCGGAAGCTGCCTGTCTTCTCCCCAGTTTTGCTGGCCCACGAGAAACTCTCTGTTCCTGTCACGTGCAAAATCCGTGTCTTCCCGGAGATTGACAAGACCGTGAGGTACGCCCAGATGCTGGAGAAGGCCGGTTGCCAGGTGAGCCCTGGTCTTGCAGGGGTGTCGTGGGCCTTGGCTGGGCCTTTGCGCAGAGGACACAGCTGAGGCTCTTCCTGTGTCCACTGACACTGTGCACTGTCGGCCTCATGGGGGCAGTGGCCCTCCTGACTGGCCTGCCCCCACTGACCTGAGTGCCACCACCCCAAGCCCAGGCCTTCGCAACAGAAACTGCTTTCCTGGCTCCAGAGTTTTGTCCCTGTGGATAGAGTAATGTCAGCATCTCTACCGTGTTCCTAGTGTCACAGAGGCCGGCAGGGCCTCCTTTGGGGATACTCAGCATCCAGTCTCCCTAGAGGGTCAGGAAGGGGCCAACAGGCTGTCAGCAGAGCTGCTCCCCTGCCTGGGTCCCCTGCACACCGAGCCTGGCCTGGGGCAGGCCTGGATGGGCTGCTGTCTCCAGGGGTGCCCCTCAAGACACTCAACCTTCTGAAGGCAGACAGCAACCCTGGTGACCCAGGGATGAGCTTGCACAGGGGCTGCTGGGCCCAGGCCCCACTTTCCCCCTGTGCCCCACCAGCCTGGAGCTAGTCCCTCCACACCTTTGGCCTTGGGCAGTGGGGATGCTGCCACTTCCTGGCCTGACTCTTGCATGGGCCTGGGCAGCACATGCAGCCTGAGGCTCCCACAGAGTGCAGAGCCTTTGGGGCAGGCCCCAGATGGTCTTTCCTCAGCCCTGCTTCAGGAGCTGAGATGGTGAGGGAAAGGTCCCTGGAGTCGGGCATGGGGCACAGGGCTTGGAGGGGTGGAGTGGGGGTGAAGGGGGCACGGACGGGCACAGGGGACTCTGAGGGGTGGAGGGGGCACAGAGGGGGCTCAGAGGGGTAGAGCGGAGGCAGAGGGAGCATGGAGGGGTGGAGGGGGCTCAGAGGGGTGGAGCGGGGGCAGAGGGGGCATGGAGGGGTGGAGGGGTCTCTGCGGGGTGGAGGGGGCTTGGAGGGGCGGAGGGACGGAAGGGGCTCTGAGGGGTGGAGGGGGCTTGGAGGGGTCAAGCGACGGCTGGTCTGTCCTAGTTGCTGACGGTGCACGGGCGCACCAAGGAGCAGAAAGGGCCCCTGTCAGGTGCAGCATCCTGGGAGCACATCAAGGCCGTGCGGTGAGTGGATGTGGGCAGTGGGTGACACAGCCCTCAGTCCTTGGGGCTTTGCTAGAGGGTCCAAGCTCCACACCGCAGGGTGCTCGGCTCACCTGACGCCCATGACCACTGAGGGGGCTAGGGCCGTGGCTGGGGGCAGCATCGCCTGGGAGCACAAGCTCCCTGCCAGGATGGAGTTGGGGCTGTCCGGGGCCTGGTGGTGTGCTGGGCAGGTGGAGGGACAGGTGTTTCTCTGTCAGCAGGAAGGCTGTGGCCATCCCTGTGTTTGCTAATGGGAACATCCAGTGCCTGCAGGATGTGGAGCGCTGCCTCCGGGACACGGGTGTGCAGGGCGTCATGAGCGCAGGTGGGCAGGGCCCGGGACAGCAGCTGGGGCCCCATGCACAAGGCCTGATGCCACCACCCAGGTCGGTCCTTCCCAATGCCTACTGCCCTCCCCACCGCGCTGTTCGCAGATGGTGTTCATCAATCCCAGTCTGCTCTGAGGGGCCTGACCTGGCCTTGTCCCTTGTGAGGTGGCACAGGAGGGTGTCCTGAGTGTCCAAGGCTTTCCTATGCCATCCACCTGGAGCAGCCCATGAGGCGTCCTTCCTCCCCTTCCTCCCACAGAGGGCAACCTGCACAACCCCGCTCTGTTTGAGGGCCGGAGCCCTGCAGTGTGGGAGCTGGCCGAGGAATACCTGGACATCGTGCGAGAGCACCCCTGCCCGCTGTCCTATGTCCGGGCCCACCTCTTCAAGCTGTGGCACCACACGTGAGTCGCCCCCTAAGGCGGAAGCACGTTGGGGGGTTGCCCAGGCAGATACCATCAGAGCCCACCTGGGGCATTTAGCAGGTTTTGTCAAAACAACTTGCTGCTAAGTCAGGTCTTGAGGGGCTGGGGTGACTTAGGAGTGGAGTTGGACAAGAAGAGACACGGGTCGCTGTGTGCCCAGTGCTCAGCCTGGGGCATGATGGTGGAGCCGGGAGCCCAGCCTGCATGACGGGGCCTCTGTCTCAGGCTGCAGGTGTACCAGCAGCTGCGAGAGGAGCTGGCCAAGGTGAAGACCCTGGAGGGCATCGCTGCCGTGAGCCAGGAGCTGAAGCTGCGGTGTCAGGCAGGCGCTGGGGCTGGTGGGAGCCTGGCCTTGCGGGGGGTGAGGGCCAGGGGCCATGACCAGGGCCTTGGGCTTTTGCAGGAGGAGATATCCAGGCAGGAGGGAGCGAAGCCCACCGGCGACTTGCCCTTCCACTGGATCTGCCAGCCCTACATCCGGCCGGGGTGAGAGCCCAGCCAGCCCTGGGCAGTGATGTGTGCCAAGGTGTGGGCTCTACCCTGTGCCCACAGTGCTGCGCCTGCGCCGCCTGTCCTCAACCATTATGGCCAGTCAGCTCCTGCCCGAGGGAAAGGAGGAGGGAGGCTTCAGCTCCAAGCAGCACACACCTGCCATGTGCCCCTCGGTGTCCTAGGTGGCGGGTGCTGGTGACTCAGCTGTGTCCTCCCTCAGTGGACACTGGGATTTTAAATCTTTTCTTCCATAAGATACTTCTCTGAGCTCCTCTGATCCTGGAGTTGCCCATGGGTCAGTAGCTTGACCCCAGCTTCTGCTGGGTTCTCAGAGGTGAGGCCATCTGTGGCCACAGCCCTGCCTGGAGCTGGTGGCTCAGAGCTCAGGGCTGCCCGAGCTGTGGACTCTATCTCGGAGGCCCCAGACTCCCTAGTGGCCACTTCTGAGTGGGCTGCGCACTGCCCGTGCTCCTCACAGCAACAGCACTCACCATGGCCGCCTGGCGCCTCCTCACCCTGGGGCCCCACCCGGGCTCAGGCCCGTGTGGCTGTGGCTGCTGGCCTCTCAAGGTGTCCTTGGGCTCTGCCCGCTGTCCTCCCCTCAGGCCCAGGGAGGGGAGCAAGGAGAGGGCGGGTGCACGCAGCAAGCGGGCCCTGGAGGAGGAGGAGTGTGGCATGGAAGTCCTGTCCAAGAACAAGCAGAAGAAGCAGCTGAGGAACCCCCACAAGACCTTCGACCCCTCTCTGAAGCGTAAGTGCTGCTTCTGCTGATGGGCCCGAGAGAGCCTCTTCATCACCCCCATCCTCCCTGTTGCCAGTGACAGGAACCTATGCTTGCGGTCAGCAAGGCTCAAGGCCCAGAGCTGGAAGCAGATGCCTGGGGGCCTTGGCAGAGTGGTCAGCCAGACCTGGGGCCTGAGCACAGGGAACCTGTGCAGGCCACAGCCCAGGCATGTGGGACATGGGCTCAGTGAGTCAGATGGGGCTGTGGGACAAGCCCCTCAGCCAGGTGCCACCCAGGTGGCCACCGAGGGGCTCGTCTACAGCTCAGGGCCTCGGGTCCCTGCAGCTGTCCCTGCCCAGCCTCACACAGGATGCCTGAGAGGGAGGCTGGGGTCCCCGCGAGTCTGTGCTGGGCCAAAGGTGCCAGCAGGGTGGGCTGGGAGAGATGGGATGAGGCTGCTCACCCCTCTCCTCTTGGCCACCAGCGGCAAGGCCTCAGCCCAGTGCTGTCTCCCCTGAGACCCCTGTGCCGTATCCTGGGCCAGCTCATCTGGGCCCTCAGCAGGTGGCAGCCTCCCAGATTTCTCTGACAGCTTTTTTTTTTTTTTTTTTTTTTTGAGGCAGAGTCTCGCTCTGTCGCCCAGGCTGGAGTGCAGTGGCCGGATCTCAGCTCACTGCAAGCTCCACCTCCCAGGTTTACGCCATTCTCCTGCCTCAGCCTCCCCAGTAGCTGGGACTACAGGCGCCCGCCACCTCGCCCGGCTAGATTTTTGTATTTTTTAGTAGAGACGGGGTTTCACCGTGTTAGCCAGGATGGTCTCGATCTCCTGACCTCGTGATCCGCCCGTCTCGGCCTCCCAAAGTGCTGGGATTACAGGCTTGAGCCACCGCGCCCGGCTCTCTGACAGCTTTAGAAGCTGCAGGGAAGACCAGCGATGACCCTGAAACCTTCCCATGTAACCCCCAGGGCGCTGGCCAGTCCACAAGCAGCTGCCATGTCAGCCTGGTGCCAGCAGTCCCCGCCTGCCACACTGCCCCCTAGGCCACTGCATGAGGCAGCTGGGAGAGGCAGGAAGTCAGTCTTTGGGTTGAATTCTTGATTTGACCCTTCTTGGCCCTTTTGCTTGGGAGACCTGGAACTGAAGGGCATGGAACCCCCCTTGGACCCTGTGGGCGGGAAAACAACTCCCCTTGTCCCTGCCTGGGGGTGGGACAGATGAGGCTGCTTGTCCTGCTGGGGCCCCCCAGACCACCTGTTTCGTGTCCGTTTCTTGCAGGATGGTGCCCCCCGCATCCCCTCACCCATTGCTCGCAGAAGGAAAAGCAGATGTGGCCAGCCTGTATCCTCTGCCCTCCGAGCCTCCTGGCCTGGCTGGCCACAGCTGGCACAGACGCTGTCAGCAGGCTCCATGCAGGCGGACGGGGCAGCCCCCCCAGCCAGGCCACCCCGGCCCTCACTCACCAGCACCCTTTTGTTCTTTTCCTAGCAAAATATGCAAAGTGTGACCAGTGTGGAAACCCAAAGGTGAGTGGGTTCCGGCCACCGAGGCTTCAGCTCTGGTGGGTGGGCAGGGTGGTCTCCGCACTCGGGGTAGCAGGTCTGGTGCCCGCCCAGCTGGGTTTGCAGTGTGGCCCAAGGTGGCATGGATGCCTCAGGACGGCTCCTTGCTTCCAGCCAAGCCCCTGCCCAGGACTGGAGTGGGAGTAAGTCTGGGTGGTTGGGTGAGGGAGAGGCACCTGGCTTGGGGGCGGTCCCCAGGGCTACATCCAGGCCGTGGGCATCTGGCAGAGACTTGCCCAGTGGGGCTGCTCCCCTGCTGGCCAGCCTGGCCCCAGGAGTGGTGCTGGCCACAGGCTCCCAAGCTTTCCTGTGCCCAGGGCAACAGATGTGTGTTCAGCCTGTGCCGCGGCTGCTGCAAGAAGCGAGCCTCCAAAGAGACTGCGGACTGCCCAGGTGAGGGCGCCTGCCCCCCGCCCCGCAGCAGGCAAACAGGCCCCTCCGCCTCCTGACCCCCGACTCCTCTCACTCGCTCTGCCAGGTCACGGATTGCTTTTTAAAACCAAACTGGAGAAGTCTCTGGCCTGGAAAGAGGCCCAGCCTGAGCTGCAGGAGCCTCAGCCGGCAGCACCCGGAACACCAGGTGGCTTCTCCGAAGTCATGGGCAGTGCCCTGGCCTGAAGGCCCAGAACCCCCACCCCCAGGACTGCTGCTGGAGCCTGGACACGTCCTACTTAAGGAAACGCCTTTTACTCAGGGAATCTCCTGCTACTTAATGTGGAAAGACACGCCCATGCCCCCCTTCGGCCCACTCTGGGGCCTGGAGATGCTGCAGTGGGGAGCAGGCCCCAGGCTGGACCTGCCCTGTCCTCAGCACGCGTGTGCAAAAGCGAACAATAAATCATTTCAAAGATGCAAGAGCCCACAGCCTGTGACCACCGCCCCCCAGACCCACGGAGGCATGAGCCGGGGCAGGTGCGGTTGGGGCTAGTGGGGGCTTCTGAACAACTGGATACGACTAAGTGAAGGCAGCGCACGGCATCTGTGCAGAGGCAAGTGGGGGCTTAGGTCCCCTCCCCGCCTCCCCTAGGCGCCTCCATAGGCAAGTGGCCAGAGCCTCCGGGAGCTTCCTGATGCCGCACAGCCTTGGAAGCACAGCCTGTGGGCCACAGTGGCCGCTGCTGGGGGCTGTTGAGCCCGCGGGCCAGGCTGCCCATTTGTCTCACCAGGCCCTGCCTCCAAGGCCAGCCCCAGGGAGACAGTCCTCAGGAATTCCTGCATAGCAGGAAAGAACAGCCAAGGGCAACACTCAGTCTGCTTTTTAATGGATACTGCCCACTTGTCTGCACCTGACCAAAGCGGGAACAGGAGGGGTCTGGGAAGTGGTGCCGCTGCGCCTGGGTGCCGCACAGTCTGCTCCCTGGGGACAGAAACCCACAGGGTCGAGCCCTGCAGGCCTCTCCTTCCAGGAAGGGCCACAACTAGCAGCCGCCTGCCTCCCCAGCCCCAGCAAGGGCATGCAGGCTGGGGGGCACCCGGTGGCCAGGCCTCTTAGCTGGGCTGCAGGCAGCACTGAGCCGCCTGGAGGTCAGGAGGTCCGTGGAGATGGGGAGGGGGTGCAGATGTCCTGGAGGCCAAGGTCCACCCCTCACATGTTGGTGCTCATCCGAGACTGGCTGTTGGCTGGAGTCAGCTCCCCCTGGCTCCCTTCTCTGGGCGGGGACTGCAGGGGAGACAAGCAGCAGTTCAGCCACCAGGCCCCACACGCTGTGCACCCGCCCACTGACGCCTGCCCACCTTGACGTGAATCTGGTTGCGGAGCACAGCTGCCCGCAGCATCATGGCCTTGGCGCGGCGCTGGAACTCCTTGCCCATCAGCAGAGACTTCTCAAAGGTGGTGCTGCGCTGATCCACATCCCGGGCGTAGAGGATCTGTGCGGGCACAGGCTCAGCGGGGCCCAGGCTCACCCCCAGCTGCCCCCACCACCCTGCAGCCCACAGCCACCTTGCTGTGCGAGTCCACGCGGGCACTGATCAGCCCCTCCAGGATCAGCTGTGTCAGCTCGTCCTCCAGGGCAGCCACTGTGGTGTTGAAGGCCGCCGCCATCCTATGCATGTCGGCTGACACGTAGGGGCTGAAATACTGCAGGGCAGAGGGAAGTCAGCTCCACAGCCCTCTGTATGCCCACCTGCCGTGTGCCAGCCTGACCCCCACATTACCTGGATGAGGGCACGGTTGCGAATCTGGGTGTACAGGGTCCTGACGTGGGGAGCCAAATACATGTCCAGGAGCAGGTTGTCCTAGGGAAGAGGCTGGTGAGGACCAGGACAGGAGGCCAGGCAGAGCCCCACCTCACCCCCACGCCAGGCAGGACCCCACCTTCATCTCATCCAGCATCTTGAGGCACGAGGCGTACTTGGACTCGTAGAATTTGAAGATGATGTCTCGGACCTGCGGCTCCAGCTCCAAGAACAACTTGAAGGAGCTGGCGGGGCAGACCCCTCAGAGCTCTGTCCTCTGCCTGCCCCTCCCTCCAAGTGGCCAGTGGTTACACCAGTCCCCAGACAAAACACCTGAGGAAACGGCAGGGCCAGGGGTCCGGGACGTGCAAGGCCAAAGCGGCAGCCGTGGAGAGGGACAGGGACTGCCGGACCAGGGCACCCACCTACTGGAGATGACGTTGCGCTGCAGCTCCTGCCGGTCAAAGGTAGCCAAGGCGCACAGGCCACCGTAGATGGCCACGTTGCTGGGGGACAGCAGCTGAGGAGCAGAGACCTGGTGTCAAAGAAAGTGAAGGGCCAGGCCACCCCTGCCTGCCAATCACCCACTCAGAGAACGCCTAAGACCCCGTTTGTGAGAAACCTCACCCTCCTACAAAAGCAGCCCAACCCATGAACCCGTGCTCTGCCTCCCAGGTCCCCAGGAGGGCTCCTCACCTCAGGGAAGTCGCAGTGATCAAAGGAAGCCAGCAGGAGGCACTTGGCAGCCTGCTTGTACTTCCTGGCGGCCAGCTCCGCCAGACCTAGTGGAGGGAGCCGGGGGCAGCGGGGAGAGGGGGTGAGACCCAGAGCCTGGGGAAACCGCTAAAGCCTGGAGACCAGGGAGAATGCGACCACCAGCCGGCTCGCTGGCCTCTCCTGCCCCAGGAGCTGTTCCTCAGTGCTGGGCACAGATACCCTAATCATGCGTGGAAACAGCCCCGCCAGTGCCAAGCAGGTTCCCCGAAGCCAGGCGTGCAAGGAAGCTTTAGGTGCTAGCATGGCTGCAAAGGACACCCGGGCTCAGAACAGCTCGGGCTGGCAGACCTGCCTCAGGCCCACAGTGACAGCAGCCAGACCCTGACCACACATCACCCACTGGCTTCCCCAGGACAGACTTTAGGTGCCACCTACACCCGCACATGTGCCCCACAACATCCTGCGCCCTGCCAGGAAAGGTTTCCCTGGCTGAAGCAGGGACCAGCCTACTGCCCTGGGCTGGAAGAGCAACACACATTGAACGTGGGGCCAGCTGGGCATGACCCAGGCCCTCACCTGCGGCACACTTGAGCTTGGTGAGGATGGCCTGGGTCTGGCTGTCACGCTCTCCTCGCTGCTGTTGGGGGAAGCCACATGCGTGAGGCCCACGCCCCACATTTCCTGGAGCTCGATGTCCAGCCCCCAGACAGAGAGGGGATGAAGGCAGATTCAGATTTGGGGGAGAATGAGGTGGGGGAGAATGAGGTGGGGGAGGATAGGAGGGGCCAGCAGTAGTCAGCAATCCTGGGGCAAGGTCTCTGAGGAGGTGGCCCGTACCTCAGCAATCTCCGGGGTAGACTCAGCCTTGCTGACATAGCTAAGCACATGAGACCAATTCTGTAAGTAGACGCTGACCTGGTGGACAAGGGGGCAGGGCCAAGTGAGCCTAGGCGCTCCGATGGCCCAGCCATGCTGCCCCCAGCCGAGGCAGGCCGACCTTGATGACGTTGAGGCACATGTTGATGACGTGCTTGGCGCTGGTGCAGTAGTCCCGGGCCCGGGAGTAGCACTTGAGGGCGTTGCTGAGGTCCCCACAGTCCAGGTAGTGGTCGCCCAGGTCGTCGTGGCCGCGCCGGATGCTCTCCTTGATGGAGTTGCCTTTGTAGTTCTTCAGGTCCGTGTCCAGCTTCTCCAGCTTCAGCAGGGCCTTCTTCCGCGTGGCCTCCACCCAGGCCGTATCCAGGGGTGGGGGCTCCACGCCACTCTCAGGGATGGCGTCGGGTGCGTTCTGCAGCTCCCTGAGAGAGGACCTGGCCATCAGGATGGTGACGGTCACAGGGGCCAGGGAGGAGGGGAGGAAGCCGCCAATCTCAGGCTGCCCTCAAAGGCCCAACTGGCACACAGGTGGGCACCTCCCACTAGCCTCAAACCCCACCTCCAGGGACCAGTCTGCACCAGGGACACAGAGAGAACTGCTGCCCCCAGGAGCCTGCAGCCAGGTGGGGAAGCCAGCAGGGAGGCAGCCCCTGAGCCACAGTCTCCAACAGCTCCCCTTGGAATCAAATCCCTGCGTGCACACACACAGGGCACTTCTACTCCTGGCCAAAAGACAGCGAGAAATCTACCTGCCCAACTTCCCAGCGCAGGGGTGGGAGTTGCAGGACACAGGAAGGGGGCCCAGCCCCAGGCACCTGCTCCCTTGGTGGCCTCTACTTCCTCTTACCAAGCCCCTGGCCTCACCTGGTGGCCTCTGAGAGCTTGCGGTGGATTTCCTCATACATGTCCACATTAAAGGTTCTCTGCACGAAGGACAGGGCCATCTTCAGGGCCTCCACCCGCAGCGTGGGGCAGTGATCAGCAATGAACTGCAGCCGTTCGATGCGCATCAGGCCGCTGTAACTGGCTGCGTACTGCTCCAGATCCTGGGAGCGGGTGCACACCAGGGTCAGGCAGGGTGTGAGGCGGGCCCCTGGCCTCAGGCCCTGAGGGTCAGGAGTCGGGGCCTGACTGTCCTAGCCAGAATGTCACCCTGGGCCCATAACCGGAACTGGGCATGGGGGTGCGAGACTGACTGCTGGTCCAGGCCCTGCAGAGCCCCCTGGGGTGGGCCTGCGGTAGGAGCCTTGGGAGTGGGGCTCTGCACTGGGGGGGTTTCGGGAAGGGACACTGACTGCTGGTCGCTAGGCTGAGCGGGGAGGACACCTGCCCTGGCTTCTCCATCAGCAGTGTCTGAAGCTGGGCTACAAGCCTCACATGAGTGAGCAATCAGAAATCCTGATGGTTTTCGGATCAGGAAAAGAGAACAGAGATCACTGAGAAGGATCATTCTACCTGCTGTGCAGGCTGCAGTGGGGAGTCTGCCCTGGACCCCTCAGTAGGACTGAGACACCCAAGGTTCCCCCACTGGGCTCCGTACCAGGCTGGGGTTCTCCACCACGTAGTTGACGTCGGGTGCATTCTGCGGGTCTTCCTGGGGGTCCACGTCGATCTGCATGGGCTCCACAGCCCCCTGCAACATGGGCCAGGCACCTGGCACCTCGTCCTGGGGACTGCCCCAGGAGGGCAAGAGACCCGCACTCTTCTCTGAGGTCAGCTCCGCCCGAGATCTTCCAGGCCAATCGGACCACACTCCCGCCGCTGCTGTCCCCCAGGCGTGCCCTCCCAGTCACCCTCGCCCCCAGCCAGGCTCCTGTGCCACCACATCAGGGAGGGGTCTCCTCACAAGACTCTAAGGCTCAGAAGCAGAAACCCCTCGCCTGATTCTAGTCGCTCGTCTCTGAAAGCCAGAAAGCAGACACGGGACAACCAACTACACAGGGACCGAGAGTCCCTACACGTTCCCAGCCACCATCCTGATGCAGTTTCCTCCAAGCCACGGAGAAGAACGGGACGCCACCTCAACCCCAGGAGGCAGGAGGACCAGCCCCCGGAATCTGTCCGGAGCAGCAATACTGGGCTGAGAATCACGCCACAGGGTTGGGAGAAGGGGAAAAGAGTCATCTCAGGGAGCCCCACGGCCCCCAGCTGAGAGACACAGAGGAGCCAGGACCTCGGCTTAAAGCAGGCTGGAAAAGCCGCCATGCCGGGCACCCGCCGGACCCGTGGGCCTCCCGCGCTCCTTTGGGAAAAGCACCAAGAGCTCGGCTCCCTCCGCAGGCCGCGGGCCCACCGGGGCACCCTCCCCTCCTGCGCTTGGCACTGCGTCCCTGTCCTCGGCCGGCAGAGCAGCAGGGGCCCAGCCACAGCAGGGGCGGCCGGGGCCCTGCTCCCCCCTCCCTCGCTCGGGGGTCCCTGTCCTGGAAGGTACCTCGTAGAGCAGCGTACAGGCCGACAGGCTGGCGCTCAGGCTGAAGTCCCCGGCCGTACCGGGCAGGAGGAGGTCTGACCTACTGCTGTGAGGGGTGCAGTACAGATCTGTCACTGACGAGGAGGCCGAGCTGGGGGCCGAGCTATCCCTCATTCTGTCCTGACTTTCTGCACCCCCCGACCCTGACACAGAGCTGGCTGGCTGCTGAAGGGAGAAAGAGCGTTAGCGTCGGGGCGGCCGGGAACCTCTCCCGTGAGCTGCTGGGAGGGGAGGCGGGGCGGGCGCGGCCCGGCGGCCCCCGACCGCAGCGCGCAGCCACGGCGGAGACGCGCCCTCGGCCCTGCAGCCCCCGACGCGCGCTGCCCGCGGAGACCCCGCACGGAGCGCGCCCGGTCGACTCCTGGCGCAGGCCCCGCGCCCCTGCTCGACCTCAGCCCGGCCCCAGCGGCGGGGGGCGCGGGGGCGCGGAGGCCTGGCGCGGCCTCGGCTCGTTACCTGCAAGTTAAACACCTGAACCGGCAGCGGCATCTTGCACCCACCCCGCCGCGGCGTGCCGTCCACTTCCGGGGCAGCGGAGCCGTCGCTTCCGGGGCGCGGGGCGGGGCAGGACCGCTGCGTTCTTAAAGGGGCCGCCGCCCACCCACGGCTCCGGCCCAGTTCTTGTCTCCCGGCGCCGGGGGTCCCGGCGGCCGCATGAGCCGCGCGCGTGGGGCGCTGTGCCGGGCCTGCCTCGCGCTGGCCGCGCTGCTGCTATGCCGCTGCCGCTGCCCCCCGGCCCGGACCCCCGCCCCGGCCCCGCGCGCGCCCCCGTCCCGGCCCGCCGCCCCCAGCCTGCGGCCAGACGACGTCTTTATAGCCGTCAAGACCACCCGGAAGAACCACGGGCCGCGCCTGCGACTGCTGCTGCACACCTGGATCTCCCGGGCCCGCCGGCAGGTGCGCCGGACCCCGATCGCAACGGCGAGCCCCACGCCCACCCTCCCCGGATCCCAGGGTCTAGGCCTGGCCCGAGCCCCCGGTGGCTCCGCGCGGGGCGGGTCGGTCCCCAGCCTGGGCAGCGCCCCCGACGCCTCATAGATTGTTTCTCCCCCCAGACGTTCATCTTCACCGACGGGGACGACCCTGAGCTCGAGCTCCAGGGTGGTGAGTGTCCCCCAGCCCCGGCGCCCGCGGGACCTGGCCCCCGAGACCCCGGAGCCGCGGCCACTGCGCTGCTGTGGGTGCCCCTCTCTGTCGAGGCTCCGGAGGCCCGGGTAGGCCACGACGCTGCCCAGGTCACACGGCCTGCGGAGGGCACACCCTGCCAGCCAAGGTCTGCTGCCCACCAGCCTCTCACACTGGCTGCTTCCCAGGGCGTGGGGTAGTGCCACGTCCCCTGAAGAAGCCCCAGCAGGGAATCCGCCCTTCCAGGCCAGGTCAGGACGATCTGCCTCCGTCCTGTTTCCTTTCAAGAGATCCCAACTGATGGCGTCTGCTTCAGCCTCGGGGGCACCAGCAGGGTCAGCCCGTGAGGGCTAGGGCTGTGGTTGGACCCAGGCAAGGAGTCCAGGCATGTCAGACAGCCACATGATGCCCTGGCCCTTGGGGGCAGGTGGGGCACAGGCCTTATCCTGACTCCTGTGCCAGCCTCTACCTGCGTGCTTCCCCTGTCTCCGACTCGCAGGTGGTGGCCGTGTCATCAACACCAACTGCTCGGCCGTGCGCACCCGCCAGGCCCTCTGCTGCAAGATGTCCGTGGAGTACGACAAGTTCATCGAGTCTGGGCGCAAGTACGTGGCACTGACCCGACCCACGGAGAGCGCAGAGCCAAGCTGGGTGGGGACCTCCTGTCCAGCTGTGCCAGGCCCTCATGCCCAGGACTCCCCTCGCCCACAGGTGGTTTTGCCACGTGGACGATGACAATTATGTGAACCCCAGGAGCCTCCTGCACCTGCTCTCCAGCTTCTCACCCAGCCAGGACGTCTATCTGGGGCGGCCCAGCCTGGACCACCCCATCGAGGCCACCGAGAGGGTCCAGGGTGGCAGAACTGTGAGTGCCAGAGCAGATTCCTTTCTTGATGCCAGCCCAGGAGGCACAGCAGAGGGCGTGGAAAGCTGGCTTGAGAAGGGCATAGGGCTGGGGGCCCAAGCTGATCCACCCAGGTGGTTTGCACGTGGTGTTTCAGGAGCAGGCCAGGAGGCCCTCATTATACTGGGCAGAGAGGGGGTGTCTGGACCAGGTGGGGAGGGTCTGCAGGCCACGGATCAATGGCCTGCAGAAGCCCCCGGCCCCTCTTACCCCAGGAAACTTCTGTTACCTGAGTGGGATCTCCTAAAGGGCAGCTTAAGAAAGATGCCTGGGGAGTCCCATGAAGAGTCAGGGGTGAGAAGCCCTGCCCCGGAAGCTCTGACTGGCGCCCCATCCCCAGGTGACCACGGTCAAGTTCTGGTTTGCTACTGGTGGGGCCGGGTTCTGCCTCAGCAGAGGCCTCGCCCTCAAGATGAGCCCGTGGGCCAGGTGAGTGGGGGTTCAGCTGCCTGGGCTGGGAGGCGGAGGCTGAGACCTGAAAGCTGCTGACCGGCCTCCCCCCAGCCTGGGCAGCTTCATGAGCACGGCTGAGCAGGTGCGGCTGCCGGATGACTGCACGGTGGGCTACATCGTGGAGGGGCTTCTGGGCGCCCGCCTGCTGCACAGCCCCCTCTTCCACTCCCACTTGGAGAACCTGCAGAGGCTACCGCCAGACACCTTGCTCCAGCAGGTACCGGCGCCACTCTGCGTGCTTCTGCCACGTGGGCTTTGCCTCACCCTGACTCCCCCAGGGGCCGCACTGCCCTGGCCTGATGCCCAGCTGAGCAGGCAGGTGGGATTTGCATGTGGCTGGGGGTGGACCCTGGAAAGGCCCCTTGGTCTGCTGGATACAGGGTCTTCAGGTACAGAAGGGGTGTAGGTGTGGTGTCTGGGGTGGAGGGACGAGGGGAGAAGCACAGTTCTCGGGCCAGGGAGGCCCCACGCCAGCTGGGCAGTGGGCGTGGTCTGTGTGGTGATGGGGACTCGAGCAGGTCCCATCACGTGGATCAGGGACAGAATGAGGGTCAGCTTTGCTCTGGAGGTTTCAGATCCCTCGCTCCTGTCCCCCAGGCTCCGCCTGAGGTGTCCCCCACTCAGCTCATGGCACCCTTCAATGCTGTTCCCAAGCCTGGCCTCCCCGAGGACTTGGGGAGAAGTGGGTGGGCAAGGGGGCTGTAGCAGGGCTCCTGGCCAGGGGAAGCGTGGCCCGAGACCAGACCAGGCCACACTCTCTGTCCACACCGTTCTCTCCCAGGTTACCTTGAGCTATGGGGGTCCTGAGAACCCACGTAACGTGGTGAACGTGGCTGGAGGCTTCAGCGTGCAGCAGGACCCCACACGGTGAGTGGGCAGTGGTATGGGCAGGCCCTCAGCCCCACAGGGGCTCTGGCATCAGCACGCCCACCCACAGCCCTGACCCCCAGTGCTCTCTCCACCTACAGCCCTGACCCCCACTTCTTCCCTCCTCAGGTTTAAGTCTGTCCACTGCCTTCTCTACCCAGACACGGACTGGTGTCCCAGGCAGAAGCAGGGTGCCCCGATCTCTCGGTGACACCAACCATCCCTGACCCAGGGCTGCCTCGCTCTGTCCCAGGTGCAGGGAGCTGGAGCCCCCCATGGCCTCAGTGGACTCCCTCAGGTGCCATGGCCATACCAGTGAGATGCAAGCACCTGGCACACCCTCTGGCGCTATAGCCTGCAGCCCCCGTCTCCCAGCCCCTGGTGGACTGCAGTGATGGGTGTTTTGGGAGAACAAAGACAGCCAGGCTAAGGGCCGGGGCCGCAGTGCCCCTCCCACTGACCCAGCCTCAGGGTTGATCCCACGGCAACAGGCGTCCACCCCAGCACCTGGGCACCTGGGAGGGAGCTGCCATCCAGGCTCCATTACCTGTTGCTGAAGGCGGGTGCCAGGCTGGCTAGGTGCCAAGGAGCAGGCTCCAGATCAAGGTCCTGGCCCAGCCACAGCCATTGCAAGGGCTTAGCCTGGCAGGCTTTGTGGGGGATGCTGCCCTCTCTGCTGCAGGCTGGGTGCACAGCCGGGCACCGCAGTGGGACTCAGGCCCGGGAAGGTCATGCTCTCAGCCAGAGCTTTGCTCCCAGCCCAGGTGCCTCATTCGGAGCCTCTTCACTGGGACCACAGAGGTGTTCTCTCTGCTCTGACTTGTGGCTCAGGACTCCTTCCTGGGTCATGCTCCTGCCCCACTGTGCCTGGGCCCATCAACAGCAGGAGCCTTTTGTTTGGGGCCCCCTGGGGTGAGACTGCCCCTGACCCGCCCATTCCAGCAGACCCACCTCCCCGCCTGCTGCCTTCCCTGGAGGGAAACGGGCCAGGGGCCATCACCTCCCCTCCGCCTCCTGCTTTGCTGTTGCCGAGCGCGAGTAAAGGCTTTGTTCTTACTCCACACGGCTCCTGTCTTAATCACCCACCAGCCCAGCTCTCCTCGGGTCCCTGCCGTGCCCCCTCCTCCCCCAGGAAGGCTCTGTCCCAGGCAGGGCTATATCCTTGCCGTCCTGCCCACCCAGCCTTGAACCTACTAGATTCTACTTTGGAAGCCAAAGCCTCCAGCAGGGTGGCATGTGGGGGTCCTGCTGGGAGAGATGAACACTGGACACTGCCCTGAGAGGCCGCCTTCCTGAGCGTCATGTTTGCCTTCTCATGTGTGTTGTGTGGAGCCAGGTGCACGTGGGTGTGTATGAGGGTGGGTGTGCATGGCCGTGTACACAAGGCTGAGTGGACACATGGAGAGCGGGTGTGTACGTGCATATAGGTGAGTATCTACCCATGTGTGTGTGTGCATCAGTGGGTATGTGCGTGGCAGTGTCTGCATGCGTGGGTGTGTGCACTTGTGCATGGGTGTGTGGAGGGCAGAGAGGAGGCCCCACATAACCCGCGTGGAGTTGGCTGGTTTCTGTCTCATTTGTTCATGCTCAGCCTGGAGTAGAAGACACCCCAAGGAGACATGAGGTTAATCATGTTTGGGTCCTCAGGGCCTGGGACTGCCAAAAGCGCAGGCACCTGGCTTTGTCCACTGCAGGCTCTGGGCTGGGAGAGGAATTCTGGGGCTCAGAACAAGTGTCAGGGGTGAATTTCAGCAAGTCCAAAACCTGCATTTCAACAGAAGCGAGAAAATAGCGAATTTTTGAAAGTTGCTGCAGAATTGTGGATGCCCCAAGAGAAGGTATCCCCTGTGTCCGTGGTGGGCGTCTGGCTGCATGGCCTCGGGTCCCGCACGCTGGCTCCCCTGGATGCGGGGTTTGGGTGTTGCACACTCCTCTTCCTCTGACCTCGTGGCCCTCCCTCCCTCCCAAGCCTGTGCCACACGGGCCCGGTGTCCTTGGAGTGTGGGGAACGTGGACTAGAGTGCGTTCGCGCCACCGGAAAGGGTATCTAGGGACAAAGTGCTCCGAGTGGGTTTTTCCAGGGCATGAGGCTCTAGCAGATCTTGGTGGACACATGCTTTCCAAGAGTCCAGCTTGCAGCTCGTCTGAGAAAATAATGTATCCGTTTTACCTCAACTCCGTCAACACTAGTCTTAAAACCTAAAGCATGTTATTGCTGTCTACCTGAAAGGAGATGGTCGTTCGTGTTTAAGCCACACTCGAAGGTTGCACGGTGCCCAGTCCAGGAGGTCACCGTGCTTCGTTTTTCCTCTCCTTTTTTTTTTGTCTAAGTTCATTTGTTTTTGTTTTGTATTGTTGTTTCCCTAAACGATCAGTTCGCTGCTCCCTTTTGTTATGTTGGGTTATGTTATGACATTCAAATCTGAGCATGTTTCGTGTGATTTCAGTAACATTTGTAGGGCAGTTGTTCTTGTGGCAGAGATCTGGCTGTCCCAGGGTCCCAAGTCTGCGTGGGACCCAGTTGGCTTAGCTGCAGAGGACAGCATCGTGCAAGGGTGAGGACTTAAAATTTAGAGATGCTGTTTTGTGTATGGTGTTATTTTTGTTGTCTGTCTTTTTTTATGTGTTAATTAACATAGGCGTGCCTGGGTTGACAGTTGTCAAGCCGGGTGTTATGTCTTTGCACTTTGGGAGGCTTGATGTTGACGGTTTGTTTGCGGAATTACGATTCGTTTTGGGTCTCGAGATTGTTCTCTCGAACGCTTCCTTTGGTTTGTTAACATGGTGACAACTGTCTTTTTGTCTTGTCTTCTATAGTTAAATATTGTGTGTCATTTATTAATTAACTAGTTCTTTCGTGAAGCTGCTTGTTTTTTTTCGTGTGTGTGGCTGCCTGTGGTGTCGGTCTACTCTGTTTCTCGGGAGGGCTGTAGGCTCAGAGTAGGAGGTGTAATGCGTGTTTGATGGCTGTGGCTTGCTAGTGATTGTCTTGGAGATTGGCACTGCAATTCTGGCTTTGTTTTTTTTTTTGCTGGGCACAGAGGGAGAGTCCGTCTCTAAAATAATTAATATATTATATAAAATATAATATTATCTTGATATGTCTACTTTGGACTCATGCTGTCTCGTGGCATTAGCCTTGCTTTTGCGTGTGATGTTGGTTTCGGTTTAATTTTTTATACCTAATTAGGCCTTAGGCGTTTTTTTTCGGTGGCTCTTACGGCCGTTTTTTAATCTCCGTCATTTTGTTTGCATGGGCTGAGGTGCATGTTTGGTGTGAGATTGATGTGTGCGTAGGTTGTATTCTATTTATAAGGTCTATTGGATCGTATTCGATTGGACCATCTCATTGCGAATTATTCTCGTTGTT